TTTGTGGCTGTGTCCTAGGATGGTGGTTGAGGCCCGTCTTCCCGGCATCAAGAACGTAAAGGCTCTGCAGAATATAATGCGTATGTTTGGCAAAGACGCCCCAATGGACCTCAAACGGAAATTCGAGGTTGGTTTATGAGTCCTGGTTTTAACCATATTTACCCTGATTTATTTTATTCTAAATTTCTCAAAGTTTATAATTGTGCAGAGATGTCCCTGACTGCTCATGACATTATCTAATAACAGCTATCTCATTGAAATATCATAGTATTTATAAACTACAGGGCATGACCAAGAAATGTCTTTTATTTCACTGTCTATGCAACTGAATCCATTCCCCATTGACTCATTCTGTCCCCTGCTTCCTCCAGGCGAAGGCCTTATCAATGTCAAACCACTTCAGCCTTCTAGACTCCCAGCAGATGATCATCGCTATGGCCGCAATGAATTTATACTCCAAACCATTGCTGTACATCTGCAGTAAGATGATTCAAGGTAAACACGGCTCTGAATTCTAGTCTATAAATGAAATCAGAAGTATTTTCTCATTGTTTGATTAACCTGCTAATCCCTCCTTTGGTAGAAAACATCAATGGGATTCCCTTCAACCTACTGTTTAAATCCATGCAGTCGTACAGGCAGCTGAAATACAGAGACTTGGAGCTGCTCACTAACTTTTCAGAACACGCCGCCTCTATGATCGACATATGGACCAAAAAACAGGTGTTGCAACAGAACCCTCGTAAAATGTATAATCTCAATAATACAAACGGCTAAGCAAGAATCTATTTAAGTGTTTTTAAAAATGATCTAAAAGTGTCTCCCTGTCTGTTCAGGTGCTCCTCTTCCTGTCTGTGTGTGAGAAGCTCACCTTCTGTCCTGCCGCAGTAATGGAGGCATTCGCTGGAAAAGTGATAGAAAATCCCAAAGCTCTGACACTGCAAGACCTGCTCTGTGTGGTCAAGGTTTACTCCACTCTCAATTACGATCTGCAGCACAGGAGTCAGCAGTAGGTCACTCACATGGCTTCAAATGATACTCATACACAGGCCCTACAATTCATATTTAGCAGTAGATATTGCAACTTGCTCTTTTTTTAGTTAGGATTTCTGTAACCTTTTTTTATTAAATAAATATGATGTATTTACAATTTCTTTGTTTGTGAGCATGGAGTGTATTGCTTGGGGGTAAATTATCATCTACAAAGATAACCTGACTCATACTGTATCATATTAGCAGGTTTTTGCATAAAATCTGGTTTAAAACATTTTTTAATGCATAATTTAAATGACAATTGGTTTCCTTTTTGCTGTGGCAGGTTCCTGGATAGTCTGATCCCGGCTCTGGTCTCCTATCTGCCCAAGATGTCCAGCTTTGAGTTGTTGAAGGCGGTCTATCATCTGTGTCTACTGGGCCACTTCCCCTCTGCACTCCTGGAGCCCCTCCTGCAGAGCAGCACACTGGAGAAGCTTACATCCACAGGTAAGACAAACAAATTATTTTCTTTTTTTATTCCCCCCACACTTGGGTCTTTTGGAGTTCATTTATCAGATTCTTTTTCTCCTCAGATCCCATTTACCTCGCCAACCAGGAGTGGATGTTTCAGACGGTGAATTTGTGCCTCCGTATTGAGCATCCTGTGCTCCCTCAGCCCCTGACGGTGCCCCCCACTCTCCTGGGAGCCCCCATCCCGGACAGTGGAGCTGTGATCCCGGAGCTCTCGCAGTGCCTGCAGAGTGTGATGGAGGACCAGGCGAACACCACTCTGCAGGAGAGGGTGTTGCTGTTGGGCTTCTACTTCATAGGTAAACACTATCTGGAATACTTCTTTATTTGTCTTTTCTACCGCCTTCACCTCCCTCCACTTGCTAAGATAACTGAAGTATTTCGCTTGTGACTCGTAGATGGAGTGATCACCAAACCTCTGCCGTCTGAGACTGATAGCGGCGGTGCAGAGAGCAGACCGAGGTAAGATCAGTCTGCAGGAGATGACATCAGCTGACTCTTTAACACATATGTGTTGGTATTTTGTTTTGGATTTATCGTGATTATGTGAGTTTGTCGTAACAAAAGGTGGAGAGGATGTTCAGCCGCTCTTTTTGTTGAGTCAGTCGGGCAAATCTGATTCCACAACCTTTTTTTACAGATGCTTTAATATCATTTTGAACTCATTTCAAGATTTGAAATAGGATATTCAGGCACAACCTTTTGTCACTTGCTTTCACTGAGGAACACAGGCTGGTAACAATTTAAGACTTGGTTGAAAATGATGTGTTAAAAGGCTTATCCAGCAACTACCAACAGCTAAACAAATATAACTTCCATATGTGTTTGAAAACGTTTTTTTTCATTTGAAAGCAAGACAAAATAACCTATTGAAAATCAAAGAAACGTAATAACCCTGCTGTGTAAAGGTTAGTTGTGAAGTGTGTGCCAACGGTCACATTGTCACATAAGCCTTCACATTTAGGTCTTTTAACCAAACGCCACTTTCCCCCGTCCTAGGATTGCAGTCATTTGCCCACCACACTCTAGTTTCTGCTTTGGCACGTCCCATCCCCGCGGCACTCTGGCTCTCAAGATGCGCCACCTGAAGACCCTCGGATATGACCCTGTCTGGGTGAGACTGAGAGACGATTACAGTTTGTAATGATCGAGTTTAAACTGTTACTTTAAGTGTCAGAATAATATTGATTTCTTCATTTCCTGTAGCCTCTTAAATTAAACCTTCCTTCACCCACAGTTCCTCGTTTGACAATTGCTTGCTAACATTTGATCAGAAAACAAATTATACTACTACCAATTGACGAAGTGAGAGTAACAAAATGTATTTTATCCTCTTCCTGTCCTCCAGGTGACGGAGCAGGAGCTGCGGTCTACGCCAGAGGAAAAGAGGACGGATTTCCTCAGGGATCGGATTTTTCCAGATCACAAGCTGAAGTGGAGAAACTAAACCTAAACACGAACTAGGAGTCACAAACTGTGCAATCATCGTCAACACACAGGTTGTGGTTTGCTATTTTTAGCTTTGTATAGAATGAGGAAGAGAAACAAATAAAGTATTGTTATAAATGTGCTCTGGTTTGGGTGTGTGGTTTCTTTTCTAAGGTGAAAAATCTGCATCTCATTTGGTTTTAATCATCCGCAGCCCCACCTAGTGTCAGCAGAAAGTATTACAAATAATGATTACAAAAAATGCAAAAAATAAATAAATAAATATATTTTAAGATCATGTTTAATCATCTTTTTCGTCTGTACATTGCTGTTTTAGTCTGTGTTCTTCTAATTAGTGTGTCTACAGTCACAGTGTGTGCCTATTGAGCTGTTTAGAGCCATGTGGGACAAAACCTGATCATGCCCCTCCCTCTCGCTGTGAAGTGAACGGTGACTGTAAAAACTACACTGCGCATGCTCAGATTATTTTCCTATTTAGGCCCAATCCCAAACCACTCCCTCGACCCTACCCCTCCGTGACGGAGTGAACTCCGTCTGTAGCCACACTCGCAGCTGAATGAGGCTCCCTCCTGTCAGATGGAGGGAGTAAATACAGCGGCAAGCTTTGGGACAAACTCCCCTCTCTCCGGCAGAAACAGGAAATGCCTTGACTGTATGTAACAACGGTTTCAAATCAGCATCTCTTAGACAAAAAAATGTAAATTAATAACTCAAATAAACCTCCAAACATCTTTCATTGTGTTACTTATTTGTAAAGCTCTTTTAGTTTTAAACCTGATGTTTATAAGCTTCTTAGTTTTTGCAACAGTCTGTAAATATACACAACTTTATAATAAAATGCACACATTTACCTTTTTCTAGACTAAACACAGGTATGATCCTAAGTTAAAAAAAGATGAGGTTATCATGAGGTTAACATCGCAATTTATCAGTGGATGTTTGCTGGAACTACTTGTAAACAGCGTGTTTCCTGACGGACACACACAGCGTTGAGACCAGTCAGGTAGGGCAGCAGGTGAAGTCAGCCCCGATGCAGACCTTATTATACATCCATGATGCAGACTCGCTGTTTGAGGGCTTGATAGCCCACTCCCCCTCCACCCCGCTCCACACTCGTTGGTTTGGAACAGCACTTAATGTGGTGGACCCGCCGCGCAAACGGAGGGGTAGGGTGTAGGGGGCGGTTTGGGATTGGGCCTTAATGTGTGTGGCAAAAAAATAATGACCATAGGGGCACTGAGCTGCCATCCCCACCATACGTCATCTCACATCATTCAGAGCTGATTGGCTGTAAGTACGTGTGCCGCGAAAAGTGTGGTGTGTGAAGAGGAGACGAGAGAGCTGCAGTGACGCGTCCTAAAACCGGGAAGTAAGCTGCGCATGGCTTCCCTCGACAAAAAAGCAATGAGGTTTCTCCATAGGATTTTAGAAAATAGCTCGAAATAAGATCTGTGGGAAACGTACCTGTTAGATAAATGCACGTTTTGTTCAGCCGGATAACATCCACATGTCTACCCTACTTTTATAATTGTTTTATCATAAATCTATCGATTAGATTTATGATAGACTTTTGAAACTACAAGAAGATAAGGAGGACTTTTACAAAAAAGTTATAGACATTTTTGTCCAGAAGGATAGGCAAATGGACTTCATCTTCAAGTCAAGGTAAGACCGCAATTTTATTGAAAATGGGATCTTACTAAGAGAGAACAATTCAATATTTAAAAGATAAAATTACATTTTTTGGGTATCCTTTTGTTGAACTGTCTGTTTAAAATTAATCGAAGCATCAGACAAAAAAAGCTTTTGAAAATAATATTATATTTTGGTTTAGGTCAAAATATAATATTTGTAAACCTGAAGAGTCAGTGCCAGTGCCTCACCAGCCATGAACCTCACTGCACGTCACTGCAGAAGCTTATATATAGACATCTAAGTTTTTTGTGCCCCACCACTTTTGTACATATAAAAACGCCACTGTACTATATGCACACAATTATAAATATTCCCCTGTTTCCTTCCAACCTTTAAGAGATATTTACCTTCTACTTGTACCAGGATAAACACAGTACTTGGCATTGTCTCAATGGGAGGGGGGTGAAGGAGGAGCCAGTCTCCATCCTAAGCCACTGAAGTTGCTCCTCTTTCCCCTCCAGGTTTAAAAGGTGGAGGCTGATAGAAGAAGTGTTGGGGAACACCTCAGCAGAGAGCAGATTGGGGATCAGGAGGTGGCCGGTTGGGCTGAGAGCGCTGGAAATACCCAATCTGTCAGCTGACAATTAAAAAAAATATCAACATTTGTATTTTATTTTCAAACCAACCCACCTGCTGAGCCATATATGAAGGGGTTTAATAAGACTGACACGATGTTGCTCCTCTACGATTGAGTTCATCTTGGTTTCCAGATTCTCTGATGCAACACTCAGCATGATATCTGTAGGCATATCTGATGTGACGCTGTAATAGTCCTGCACAACAAGGGATGACAACAATAACATGTGGCAGACCTAAACCTATAATCCAAGCCATTTGTTATATTTCTCACAGTTTAAAGAACATATAAGGAAGTCATTCATGGGGACAGAAATGATGCAGCATAACAGGATTTACTGTAGGTTTAGACGGGATTTTGAAGGGTTATATACCTGACAATGCTCTAGGAAGTCACTAAACCCCCCTAAAAGCATCGCTTTCCCCCCTTGGTCCACCAGCTCCCTCCAAACCAAAGGGGACTGCTCGTGTTTCCAGCCATTTCTTGTGCAGGTGTCCTCGAGCCATTCCTATCGAGAGACAAGTGAGAGGAAACAGGATAAATATACTGATGATTTGTAAGTCAAAGAGACTTAATATAGTTTAAAATAAGCAATATTACCTTCCATGCATGTGGAAGGACTGAGATCTTGTGGATCCTGAAGTTTGGCAGACATCTGTGCAGACTGTCTGCTAATAGTTCCGCTTTGGCGTAATGTGGGCAGTCAGTTTTGCCTGAAGAGATAACAAGTGTAGCAGTTATATGTTTTATATTCTACATTAACACGTTAAAAGAAAATGAGTTACTTTACCAGCGAGCACAAATTTAGCCATTGCATCCCGGATGGCGTCGGTTGCTAGGAAACTGTGGGTGTAGCGCTTATTTGAGTCCATGTTGGAAGCGCTGCAAACAAACATAAAACCAGGGCCTGTTATTGTGATGAATATGAGGCCTATCATTAAACATGTACACCATGTGGTGGTATAAAGCGTGATAAATATTGTGCTTGACACGTTGTATATTTACAATGACCATTTTTTACTATATTGTGACAGTTCGTGCTGAACCGGGTTGACAGGGGGACTTAATATGGCAGCGCACACAGCACGGAGCAGCGCATGAGAGTGCTAGCAAACAAACATTAGTATCGTTTTAGTGTAATGTAGTCCTGTGTCCCTTAGTTTAACACATTTCAAACTCAAACATGTTTTAGCAAGAGCCGTGTGTTTCTTTGTGACAGTTACTTGTATGTTGGAGTAATAAGGTATGGTGCGTCACTTTGCTAACATTAGATAATGTGAGCTAGCCAGTGTTTTTGGAGGAGCCAGTCCGTTGACCTTGTGTTTATCTTCAGTCATAGTACTTTGTAATACTTAATTTTTACTAATTACTTATTTGAGGTAACCGTCTATGTGGCCAATAATGTAAATAAAGTGTTGACTGAAGATAATTTGGAAATAAATGCCATACTTTTTACATTTTACTCAAATTGCTAGCTACATTTGCAGGGAAATAGAATGTTATATGCAACAATTCATTCATAGCATTCTATTTTCCTGCAAACTACTGCTTTATTTATCTTATTGCTATTTAACTATTTTATTACGGTGTAAAAAAGATTTTGTGTTTTATATTAGATTTCTTGTTTTTTATATTTTATGTATGCACCATGACATCAAGTCAAATTCCTAGTATGTGTGAACCTACCTGGCAATAAACCTGATTCTGATTCTGATTCTGATTCTGAAATACCTGATTGAGATTTTTCCTTCACATAGGGGCAGTGCGTAAATTAAGGACGCAAGGACTCTTTCTATCTCGTCCCCTAAGTCATTACAGTACAATGTCTGTCTGGGTGACAAAAGAGGTAATGAGATGGGGATGCCTTTGCAGCCGCAGGTCTCTATGGCAACAGAGCAATCTAATGGGGAAGAAATCACCCAAATACACATCTTTCCCCAGTCAGCAGTTAGCACACATATGGGGCACAAAGCACCATCAGACATGCCTGGAAAGCAACCGTGTGATTTCAGTGAGGTTCTACTCAAAGGGGACGATTCACAGTGAGGTCCTGGAAGAGAAGGAGCCTCTTTCCTCTCCCCTGGCAAAGTCTTCGCTGCCCAATGAGAACCAATCTGAAGTGACATTCCCAAAGGCGATACAGTGGACTTCACCTTTAATGGACCGCCTGAAAAGCTGTGGCTCCCAGTCAGACGTGTTGGAGCTCACCTCCAAATATGCACCCACGTTTAAGCAGAGCATCTTGTGCCTGACCCACATCTGGTTAATTACTAAGACGATGTCGCTTGATAACCAGCGCTACGAGCTGCAGCTCATGTTTGAGCATCCTGGTTTTGACGTGCTGCTGCAACAAGTCATGACGAGTGTGGGGCAAATGAGCAATAAAGACGTAGCTTATTCTCTCCTGAATATGGTCAATCTTGGGGTTCCTCAGGACAGCCTTGTGATCCAGACTTTTCTCCGATACTGCCAGGTAGTTGGCGAAAGATTGACCATCAAGGAATTGTAATTTTCCATTTGGAAATGTTTTTGTTTTTAACCCAAGTTAATGTTATTGTCCACTAACAGGAGAATCTATCTGACTTTGATGGGAAGTGCTTGTCCATCTTGGCCTCCTGTCTGCGAAACATGGAGCACAGCAACAACACTGACGCACTGAAGGATGGCGTGAGGTCAGGATTGTGTTGTTGTTTGGAAGACCCCTTGAAATATTTACATGACAACTTTTTTTTCAGATTCTGAAACATTTTCGTTTTTTTGTGGCTGTGTCCTAGGATGGTGGTTGAGGCCCGTCTTCCCGGCATCAAGAACGTAAAGTCTCTGCAGAATATAATGCGTATGTTTAGCAAAGACGCCCCAATGGACCTCAAACGGAAATTCGAGGTTGGTTTATGAGTCCTGGTTTTAACCATATTTACCCTGATTTATTTTATTCTAAATTTCTCAAAGTTTATAATTGTGCAGAGATGTCCCTGACTGCTCATGACATTATCTAATAACAGCTATCTCATTGAAATATCATAGTATTTATAAACTACAGGGCATGACCAAGAAATGTCTTTTATTTCACTGTCTATGCAACTGAATCCATTCCCCATTGACTCATTCTGTCCCCTGCTTCCTCCAGGCGAAGGCCTTATCAATGTCAAACCACTTCAGCCTTCTAGACTCCCAGCAGATGATCATCGCAATGGCCGCAATGAATTTATACTCCAAACCACTGCTGGACATCTGCAGTAAGATGATTCAAGGTAAACACGGCTTTGAATTCTAGTCGATAAATGAAATCAGAAGTATTTTCTCATTGTTTGATTAACCTGCTAATCCCTCCTTTGGTAGAAAACATCAATGGGATCCCCTTCAACCTACTGTTTGGAACCATGCAGTCGTACAGGCAGCTGCAATACAGAGACTTGGAGCTGCTCACTAACTTTTCAGAACACGCCGCCTCTATGATCGACATATGGACCAAAAAACAGGTGTTGCAACAGAACCCTCGTAAAATGTATAATCTCAATAATACAAACGGCTAAGCAAGAATCTATTTAAGTGTTTTTAAAAATGATCTAAAAGTGTCTCCCTGTCTGTTCAGGTGCTCCTCTTCCTGTCTGAGTGTGAGAAGCTCACCTTCTGTCCTGCCGCAGTAATGGAGGCATTCGCTGGAAAAGTGATAGAAAATCCCAAAGCTCTGACACTGCAAGACCTGCTCTGTGTGGTCAAGGTTTACTCCAATCTCAACTACGATCTGCAGCACAGGAGTCAGCAGTAGGTCACTCACATGGCTTCAAATGATACTCATACACAGGCCCTACAATTCATATTTAGCAGTAGATATTGCAACTTGCTCTTTTTTTACTTAGGATTTCTGTACCCTTTTTTTATTAAAGGAGAGGTGTCATGGCCATTTCCACTGATCATAATTCCATTGTTGAGGTATACTAAAATAGATTTATATTGTGCATTTTTCCAAACTCACATTGGTTTCTCATACAGCATCTCTGTAAACTACTTGTATTCACTGAATTTCACTCTCTGCCTTTAACGGCTCGTTGTAGCTCCAATAGCTCCAGCCCCCACCCTCCCTGTGAGCACAGTGTGCTCTGATTGGTCGGGACGTTGTGAATCGCGCTGAGCTCCGTGGAGGTGTTGCTTCCTTGTTTAGGATACATAGCGAAACACAGCCAAACTCATCCTGAGCACACACAAAGTCACATCCGAAGTAAAAACAATAAGTGTGGCTTGATATTGAGTAAGACAAAGGTTGATAAACGCTGTGAGAATGGGTCTGCAGAGAGAATTTTGCCGCGATCCCAACTGTCTGTTATCAGCCTGCAGCCAGGGAGGAGAAATCAGCTGAGCTGCCTGCTCCCTGCACACAGATGTGTGTGTGAGGAAGTCCGTGGATCGGTCAATTTGGACCAATCAGCGGGGGCTTAACGTAACGGCTCCGCGGACGTAACGTAACGGCTCTTCGGGATTGGTCCATTTCGTTCCGGGTACCGCTTGACATCATGCCGTACCCGGAACGAAATGGAAGACTCAAATGGCCAGTGACGTATCTCCAACGAGGCGTTTTGGGGAGGTATTTTCTGTGTTAGAGTTTTACTCGCTACAGGGTGTACTTTGAGGGTTTTGACTCTGCACACCGTTTACATGCATGAAAACCTTCATAACACACAAGGGGACGGGTAATAACCGGAAAAGCATGACATGGGAGCTTTAAATAAATATGATTTATTTACAATTTCTTTGTTTGTGAGCATGGAGTGTATTGCTTGGGGGTAAATTATCATCTACAAAGATAACCTGACTCATACTGTATCATATTGGCAGGTTTTTGTATAAAATCTGGTTTAAAACATTTTTTAATGCATAATTTAAATGACAATTGGTTTCCTTTTTGCTGTGGCAGGTTCCTGGATAGTCTGATCCCGGCTCTGGTCTCCTATCTGCCCAAGATGTCCAGCTTTGAGTTGTTGAAGGCGGTCTATCATCTGTGTCTACTGGGCCACTTCCCCTCTGCACTCCTGGAGCCCCTCCTGCAGAGCAGCACACTGGAGAAGTTTAAATCCACAGGTAAGACAAACAAATTCTTTTTTTTTTTATTCCCCCCACACTTGGATCTTTTGGAGTTCATTTATCTGATTCTTTTTCTCCTCAGATCCCATTTACCTCGCCAACCACGAGTGGATGTTTCAGACGGTGAATTTGTGCCTCCGTATTGAGCATCCTGTGCTCCCTCATTCCCTGACGGTGCCCCCCACTCTCCTGGGAGCCCCCGTCCTGGACAGTGGAGCTGTGACCCCAGAGCTCTCGCAGTGCCTGCAGAGTGTGATGGAGGACCAGGCGAACACCACTCTGCAGGAGAGGGTGTTGCTGTTGGGCTTCTACTTCATAGGTAAACACTATCTGGAATACTTCTTTATTTGTCTTTTCTACCGCCTTCACCTCCCTCCACTTGCTAAGATAACTGAAGTATTTCGCTTGTGACTCGTAGATGGAGTGATCACCAAACCTCTGCCGTCTGAGACTGATAGCGGCGGTGCAGAGAGCAGACAGAGGTAAGATCAGTCTGCAGGAGATGACATCAGCTGACTCTTTAACACATATGTGTTGGTATTTTGTTTTGGATTTATCGTTATTATGTGAGTTTGTCGTAACAAAAGGTGGAGAGGATGTTCAGCCGCTCTTTTTGTTGAGTCAGTCGGGCAAATCTGATTCCACAACCTTTTTTTACAGATGCTTTAATATCATTTTGAACTCATTTCAAGATTTGAAATAGGATATTCAGGCACAACCTTTTGTCACTTGCTTTCACTGAGGAACACAGGCTGGTAACAATTTAAGACTTGGTTGAAAATGATGTGTTAAAAGGCTTATCCAGCAACTACCAACAGCTAAACAAATATAACTTCCATATGTGTTTGAAAACGTTTTTTTTCATTTGAAAGCAAGACAAAATAACCTA